AATAATTGATAAGTAAAAAGTAAACACGAAAGAAAAAAGACGGGACAAAGGAAAGACGGGGAAGAGGAGAAGGCGAGGGGGTTGGAGGAGGTGGTGATGGCTAGTTTCAAAGGCCACAACTGTTTAAAGATAAACACTGCTGAGAGCTCTCCTCTCTCTCTCTCAACATGTTTAATGGTTTTCTTTCAGTGAACGGAGCAGTGTCCATGTCTTTATATTTCTCTGTATTTATTGTTAAGTAGCTTTATTGTCCTTTCATGGTTAGGAAATTATATTTTTGGAGTCTGACCTTGGTGGGGACGGTTTCAGGGAGCTGGGGTAGAAGTGAAGGGTGAGTGACTAAGGACAGAATGCGTGGACCTCCCCCTGCACAGCCCCACGGTTTCTAAGAGCGGCCTGAGATAGTGCGAACACATGGGAAGGATGCTGAGTGAAAAGGGGGGAAATGATGAAGTTGATAATTTAGACATAGTTGCCCAGTACATTGCAGTAACTGGGGCACATCTTGGCTCCTGGTCAGTTGCCCACTCCAATAAGAAAAAGCCTAAGAGGAGGTTGCAGGCCAGGCTGGACACTGTGCATGGCTGTGCCCCTTCTGGCGTGAGTTCTAAGTCCTGTCCCCCAAAGGTGTTATTAGCCCAAAGTGGACAGTCTTGTCCTAATTTGCACAGCTTCTGAGTTCTGGCTACTTTCATGGGCCTGTCCAGAAGAGAGCACCATTTTCTAATGCTCATGTGGGCGCTGTGTATGTGAGCTGCAGCCCTGAAATCACATGTGAAATATTGGGGTCCAGCCTGGAGTTGGGGTGAAAGAACGTGCAGGTGGCATCCATCTCTAAACAAGAGTTCACAGCCTTGGAAGTGGCGTGGCTTCAGGAATAAGGGTCAGAGGAAGTTCATAAAAGGGGAGATTGGCTGCCATTCCTTGAGCACTGGTGGTGCTGGGTTGCTTCATTCAATCTCATGAAAATAAAAAGGTGTGAGGTAAGGATTGTTCTCCCTGCATGAGAGATGATCGCTTACTGCTTTGTGTTTGAGGTCACCTAGAAAAAACACTAGGATTGCTTTGGTGAAAGCGATAGCAACCCCATACAGACCAACTTCAGACAGAAGCCTGTGGCTTCTCCTCTTTCATACTTGTGGTGTATTTCTTTTTGCAGACGGCTGCTGACCACTTGAGGCTGTAATCATATATTGTGACAACCTCAGCTGAAAAATGGGTTCATTCTCCCAACTTTGGCAGATCAACACCAGTGAATGGTTCTAATAGGCCACACTTGAGTCCAAGACCTACCTCTTGATCAATAATTCTTGCCAAAAAAGGAAGTGTTATTACGTGTTTGGGCAGGTCTCTATCATGGATTAAACCAGAAAAAGGAAGACAAAAGGGAGATAGAAACATTTAGAAGTCAAATTACCCTCTGCTACCCCAAAATCTAAGTAACAAATACTTACAGTTCATTACTGTAGCAAGGATTCAATCCCTTTGCTTTCTCCATGAATAAGAAACGAGTCAAAGGCATTCCCAGAAGCTTTAGATCCCATGGACTAGGAAGTAGCTCTGGCATTCAAGTAGAGGCCTAAGTACCCTGGACCACAATTACTGGGTTGTAGTATATTTAGTTACATCAGAAACACCCAGGTGTTAGTTAAAAGACAGATGTCTGGGCCTCATCCCAGACCCACTTAATTGGGCTATTCCTAGGGATGCCCAAGAACGCAGTTCTAACGATCCCCCAGGTGGTTTTGATTAGCAGCGGTAGTTCCCAGTCCTGGCTATCCCAGGTGTGGGGAGGCCTGGCTGGTGTGAGGTGCGATTGGGGAACCACTAGGGCAGGTGTCAGCCTGCGTGTGATGAGGTCATGGTGGGGGAGAATGAGGAGAGAAAGGGTCATGTGGACAAAGCTCATCTCCCTATCACAGGCAGCCTGATATTTTCCAGAGCTTTTGCAAGGTCTACATAACACTCTTGAGAGCTCAGAACTTGGCCTTGGGTTCGTTTGTGGAAATAAGTAGTCTAGTTCTAATACTGCCTCTAGCCTTGGGCAAATAAACTACTTTCAATAGTAGGACTTGGGAAAGGACTAAACATAGACCAGGGAAGCAGTATACAGCCAGAGTGTGACCAACAGAGGAAGCTGAGCAACGCCTCATCCTATAGATAAGTCAGACAAGCACAGATTGCAAAGGGAAGAAATCCATTGTAAGAAAGTGCAATGAGCCCGGCCAGCATGGCTCAATGGTTGAGCATCGACCTATGAACCAGGAGGTCACGGTTCGATTCCGGGTCAGGGCACATGCCCGGGTTGTGGGCTCGATCCCCAATGTGGGGCATGCAGGAGGCAGCTGATCAATGATTGTTTCTCATCATTGGTGTTTCAATCTCTCTCTCCCTCTCCCTTCCTCTCTGAAATCAATATATATATATAGAAAGTGCAATGAAAGACTGAATAAAATGAGAGGAGGGAGAATAGTTGATAATTCCTAAATTGTGTTTGATGACACTATTTCCAGAGCTCATTGGTGAGAGATCCTACTCCCCATATGTGTCCCTGGCAAATGAAAAATAAAAGCTGCTGCATGCCACTTGCTTGGATTTCGCTCTATTTTGTGTGATGAAGCAAGCAGCTCATCTTCCTGGATGGTTATCTCTAAGGAAGTTAGAAAATGTCCAGACCTGCTGCTCTGTTGTCTCCACCTCCTCCCGCCTCCCCGCTGTCTTTGAGGACCGGGTGGCTCGCTGCACCTGTTTCGGAGACATTGGCCAGAAGGCAGCCCTTGCTTCTCAGGGCTTTGAGGATGTTGGTGCGTTTCCATCTCTCTATTTTTCTTGTTGGCTCCCGTATTGAAATAAGTGAAGCCTTGTTTTCTGTTTCTGTTTTATCCTGTGCTAGGTTTGGATGTGCGGCTTTGGATAGCTTTCTCTTTGGACATGAAAATACTTTCTACGGGAAACTGTCCGGAGTGTGTTGCATAAAACCCGACAGACTCGTCATTGCAGCTTTGAGATACTCAAGGAAGGGCAGTCCCTCTGCTCTGCATGGAAAAGAGAGGAGAAGACTGAGGTCGGTGATTACAGGACGGAAAGTCAGCTGCGGTGGGGGAGGGGCTGAACGTTTCTTACTTTCCATGGAAGAGACACTTGCATCTTCGTGGAGCAGAGACCAGGGAAAAGGGAAGAAACAACAGGGATTGCCATTTACTTCTTGCTGTGGCCAGGAGGAGGTCCTTGACTTAAGGCATTTAATTTGGAAAAAAATGGTTAAACTTATATCAGTGTGAAAAGAAGAAAAACCAATATACCACTGATTTTAGAGGGGAAAGGGGGAAATTTTTTACATAGTTAAGAGTGAATGGTGTGACCTCTCCACCTCAAATTTTCCCATTTCCTTCCTCCTTCCTTCCTCCCTCCCTCCCTCCTGCCTTCCTTCCCTCCCTCCCTCCCAACAAATATTTACTGAATGCCTTCTGTGTGCCAGGCTCTGGGCTATGTTTGACAGAATACAGCACAATGGGAATTTTTTTTCTTTTTCTTTTTCTTTTTCCTCATTGGTTGATGCAATGGACTGAATATTTTTGCCCCTCCCCCCAAATTCATATGTTGAAATATAAACCCCAATGTAATGGTATTTGGGGCTGAGCCCTCATGAATGGGACCTTATAAAAGAGACCTCAGAGAGCGCCTTGCCCCTCCACCATGCGAGGACACAGTGGAAAGAAGGCTTTCTATGAATCAGGAAACCTGCTCTCACCAGACAGCTCTCTGCAGGAGTCTTGATCTTGGGCTCCCCACCTCCCCACTCCCCCCAGAACTGTGAAAAATTTCTGTTGTTTATATGCCACCCAGTCTATGGTATTTTGTTATAGCAGCCCGCATGGACTGAGACAGATTACCGTGATATTCATTATGGTGTCTTAGATTTATAGTTTTAAAATCAGCTAAGATTTGTATTTCCAAGTGCACTTCATAACTGCTAGACTGGACCACTTGCTCACGACTCTCTGTCACCATCTAGAGACAATTTATACATATTGCAGGGCCAGTTCCTAGAACATTGAAGGCCGGAAATCATTCTGGAAGTTATGACTATGTTTTTGTATCAGCTCCACAGAAACAATTGGTCCTGAGCATCTTCAAATGAATGAAATTGCAGGTTTTGACCTCTAGATCTACTAACATGTGAGAAATAGGTCTTGGTTTCTACACCAAACCATGGAGGGCTGGGATCTACCAAGTGCGAAGGTTTACTGGGGTGTGGGAGAAGAGCTGCAAAATTGGTGGGGCATGGGGTTCTTATGTTATTCGGTTCAAGAGAAGGCCTCCAGACCCTCAAAGGGTGAGCACTCAGCAAATATAACAAGTATTTGTTCATCGGAATGAGAGGCTTTGAGGCTCCAGGCTGATGGAGGAAAAGATCCCAGAATAGGATTGGGATCCATGCTGTTTACCCGGGTTCTCACCAGGGGTGATTTTGCTCCCCAGGGACATCTGGTCATGTCACAGCATTTTGTCACAGTTGTGGGGGTGCTAAAGCCCTACACGGCACAGGACAGCCCCCAGCACCAGGACCGATCCTGCCCCAGATGTCAGTGGTGCCAAGGCTAAAAACCAGCACAGTCTAGCACTGAGTGTGGTAAGAGCGGGTCTCTGAGAGTTTCCTGGGCCATATAATTCAGTGCTGTCCACCCCAGTCTCCTTTTTTATCTAGTCTGTTGCTTGGTGACCTGACATCAAGCACGGTTTTTGCTGCGTGTCCTTAATGTCCACTTTCCCTTAGCGTCCAGTCATTTGCTGAAATCGCATAAAGCCCTGACGTCACGGTGTCGGGATCACCCACAGGTGCTTGCTGCAAATGCTTATTTGGGGCCTGCACCACATCTACCGGATCAGAATTTCCATGGCTCATGGTTCAGGAATCTGCCTGGTAAGCCAGCAGCACAGGTGAATTTTGTGCACATTGAAGTTTGACCCGACGATCTAGAAAGCAACAGAATTACGGGTTATCCTCTCTTCTTACTTTAAAAGCCCATTTATAAAGCCCAGAAAGATATATTCACCTAATCCTTGCAATATTCTTTTGATGTATGACTTGTATTCCTATTTTATAGGTTATAAAATGGAAGACACAGTGCTTACGCAGATGATGCAGGGAAAGCTAAGTGTTTTTGTTGAACCCAGATCTTCTCACTGAGAGGTCTTTCCAAAAAGCTTTGCCCTGGGCAGACGCTGTGCCCTTTCTCTGTCTCTGCCGCCCAGGTCTACCTCTCCACTGCTGCATCCAGGGAGACAGACGTACACTTGTTGGGCTGTCACTTGTTCTAAACTGTGACATGGACCTCGTCTTAACCACCTCCCTGCCCTGAGGACCGGAGCAGGGATATGCCCACTCCACTGCCACTACCCTGGTCCAGGACACCAGCATTGCTCACCATGATTCTAGCACAGCTTCCTTGCCATTCTCCTCTGCTCGGCACTTCCAGCATTATCCACACGTGATCCATCTATTGCCTCCTACACATTCTCTGTCTCCCCTTCAGCCTACAATGTCCGGTTGACCTGGCCATGTCTCTGCCTCTCGCTCTGGCCTAGAACTTTTCCATCATGGCAGCATCTGAGGATATATTTTGCTCATCAGTGCAAACAGTAGGGATCAAATAAATGTACTGAGTAAAGGAGCAGGCACATTGCAGATGGGATGCCCATCCGTGGTGATGGCAGCGCTGTTTGTTAGGGCTGATTTCTGCAGATTGGGGTGTCTGGGGCCAGGGTTCCAACTTTAGGAGTTGGAAGCATGGTCACTTGGAGAAGAAAGAAAGATCCAGAAGAGGTGAGGCCCCTGCCAGCCGGCTGTGTGATGTTCTAATTTATTGGGATAAACTGGTTAATAACATTATATGTCATCATATTTCAGGTGTACAACCTGACGACATCTGTGCACGCCACTGTGTGCTCACCACCCTGGCCTCCCTCAGTCATGCTGCTGACAAGGCTCAGGGTTCCAGCCCTCCGGTTGCCTGGATTTGCGAGTTTCCAAAGTATATGTGCTTGAGCCCATCTGAGCCCAGTTTCTTCATCTTCATCAAGGAGTTAATCATTCCCACCTTTGCGAGGATAGGGCCCAAGGTAAAGGAGATAAAGCAGGGGATAGCACCTGGCACTTGGGAGGTGTTGCGAAGGCTCTCAGTACCTGTCTGTCCCGGCACCCAGAAGACTTGTAGAAGAGAAGACGGGCTGCAAAGAAGTCGCGCCACTTACCTGCGCCTCCCTCCCCCTTGCTCAACTCATCTCTTCCTGCGCTTAAAGCTGAAATTCCGTCTTCCAAGCCCGACCCAGGGCGCTCCGAGCTCTCTCTCGGCGGTGGGTCCCTCCCTCCCACTTGCACTCACCCAGCCTCCCCTCCCTCTTCGCCCCCTCCCTCGGAGCAGGAGCCGGGAATCCCACGCCCTAGCACCAGCCCGGGGGCTCGGACGGGCCCGGGAGCCGCTGGTCGCCAATCACCGTGCG